ATTTTCTTTCCCTTGCCTGCCAAAATAGGCAGGGCTGGGGGGGTAGTGGTTTCCAATTGATTGAATCTCTTAATTTTGGTTCCTCTTAGCTTCCTGATTCAATTTCTCCTGTTTTGTAAATCTATCCAGTTTGGATGATCTTGACTTCCCACTTTTTCTATTCATAAGTTCATTTTTTATTTCATCTCTGCACATGTTTGAGTTTTCCCTAAAACTCTTATATACAATATTGTTATACTCATCCCAAAGACATGATTTTACATACAATGTACACTATACACTATACAAATGTGTATAGTGGACACAATTTTTGCAATTTTTCCCAAATGTACTTTTGTACATTATTTTCATCAATATAAATATTTTTCTTCATTTTTTTCCCTATTGCACTTCCATTTCTTTTTTTCATTGGCCGCCTGTAGAGCGATTAAGATGAGAATTTCAAAGGATAACTCTTTCACTGCCTGGTTCTGATTCCTGTGCATTCTGCCATATTTGAATTAGAATGGGAAAGTTGGGAAGGAGAAGCTATTATTGGTTCCATGAATAACATTGATTCTGAACTCCATGGGAGAATTATAGCTTTATTCAATTTATCTGGCCACCCACCCACTTTGGATGGTTAACAAGTTAAAAACATCAAAACATACTTCCACCATTTTAAAAAAAGAGCGACAAATAGGCACAAAGGACACTAGGAACAATAGCTCATGTAACACAACTAACTGGTACAGATGGGTCACATAACATCCTGGCTAGTTCTCAAGGGAAGATCCAGGTTTTCAGGGCCTTTCTAAAGGCCAATACAGTTAGGGCCATCCAAATCTTGGGGAAGAAAGTGTGCTGTTCTGTAGGACAGGCACAGCAACAGAGAATTATAGCTTGGTTGCAGGTTGCAAGTTATTTATTTTTGGTTCTTATGCGTGCTATAAAATTGTACTGTTTAATAGACAGTGCATGCCAACCTTCTCTGAGAGAGAATTGGAGAAATACAGTCTCTCATCTTTTGATTGTGCCTTCCAGCTGTTATAACTTAAAACTATTACAGAACACTGCCTAGCATCATCAGAGTAGATGACATCAAAAACAATCTGTAGATCTGGGGAATGGGAAATCCAGTTCTCCCATTACTGGCCAGCGTGTTGGAAATTCCTCAGCTTTTAACGGAAAGCTGTTTCTTCAAGCTATTATTTCAGCCTTGGGTTATTTACTTCGCAGCTCAATGTGGTTGACCGCCTGAATCCTGAGAGTGTTTTGTATCGTTCATGAAAACTATAATTTAAAGTCCTGTAAGTGATCAAGTTAAATATAAGAGAAATATGTAGCAAGGAGATTTTCTCAAATCCTGAGTCTACAAGGTTATGTAATATGTACTCTCACGGCTGTGTTCTTCTTTGCCTCATATTTATATTTACCTGTCAGGCTGTTTTATATCTCTCTCCAGTCAACTGAGAAAGTTTCACTATTGCAAGCGGGAAGGCAAACATCTATTATGAATCTGCTCATTTTGAATGTCTGAAACACACTTGAATATCCTGATAACTGCAAATGAATTTTGCTGCTGGGAAAAATACATGCATTATTTTCTTCTCATTTTCTTATTAAGGAAATAAGTGAAAGCAAAATGAATTTTTTTTTTCTGCTTGTCCTCATTCCATTCAGTGGAAAAGAATTTGTTTTCAAATGTTCTTTCAAAGGAGAAGGGAATTATAGTAAAGTTCTCATGGATAGAAGTTTTCTGGGACTTATTTAGTGATGAGATGCAAGGATATCTGGCTGTCATTGAACATTCTTTCTCTGGTCTGTCTCTGGACTCATGGTTTCCTATTTTTCAAACCATTCCCAAAAGAGAGATGAGAAGGGAATTTCTCCAGGGCATCCTATTCTTGAGAAGTTTCTGGATTTGTCCTTGCCCTAGAGAACGCTGGATAAATCATCCATGCAATTTCTTCTGTTGACAAGTTTGGTGGAGAATATCAAAAGACCACTTTTGTCCAACTCCAGCATACTTTATAACAGGACTTTTGACGATAGTCTGGAAGAAGAGACCTTGATATTGGAATAAGGAATAACTGGTCCTCCCTTCCCGCAGAATATAATCCAAAGATGGAGAAAATACAGCCTTCTAGTGTAGTTGAATCACAGCACCTGCAGCTTGGTCAAAGATGGGGAAGGTGGGATTTATAGTACAGTAACATCTGGAGGGTCAGCTGCCACCAATCCAGACAGCAGAGAATCATCCTTCGCACAAATCCTGTTTCTTATCAGACGTTTGTCCTTGCAATAAGATAGCCCCCACTGCAAATGTTTTGAGAAGGAAAATAAATGACATCTCTATATTTGGTTGAAACTGGCCAGGAAGTTATTTCTCTAAGAGTTTGTTTTAAATAAAATGATTTATATTAGACTGTACATCATTCTATATGCTTCTGGTTCAACAACCCTTGACTTGTATTCCCCTACTTCCCAGCTTGTTATTTATTGACAGTTTTTTTCATGAGAAGCAAGAGTGCAAGGGAAAGTGAAATTTGAACAAAATGTCAAATGGAATACAGAGAGAGTGGAACTTTATTTATCATTTTGATAGTATTACAGCAACCTCCTTTTCCCATTTCTTCTCAGTCTCCTATTTATTCATTTTTACCTCTATATCTCTATTTATTGTAGACTTGGTAGAACAACAGGAATCTGTTGGGGACATTAGGGACATTACTGTAACTGCACCCAATTTTTGTAATTCTTTTTTGGTGAAAGACCTGTATAAGTGATCTTTGACTAACAGAGAAATAATTTCCTCTTATGGCAGGCTGTTAGGACTGAATGTTTGTCAGCTTTCTCTTCTAGCCATGGTTCTCTGCTGTTGTGATAGCTTAAATTCACTAATTTTTTTCATTGCATTTTGAGGCCATTTTGTATTTTTATTGTTGGTGTCCGGCCACATGTCATAGGAAGCTGGAAATACTCTGCACCATTTAATCCTTTTTTTAGGTCGGTAGTTGCTAGAATTTTGGGACGTTGAGATCATGTTGGGGTACTTTCACAAAATGGTTATTGTAGAAAAGAGACTCGTTTACAAAAAATACACCATGGGGAGGGCGCCCTGTTAAAGAAACATTCATTGACAAAAATGTAAATTGGTGGTGCTGAAGGAAAAGTAACTTTGCCAAAGAAATCATTAAAAATAAATCAATAAATGGCTTGACTTGATGGCCTAGCACACAAATTAAAATAATGGTTGGGTTCCAAAAATGGGCCAAACTACAAATTACCCATACAAATTACTCAACCCCATTTTAGCCTGTTCTAGAGGACTGAATGATCCCCATCATGATGTTGATAATGATAGAACAATAGAAGAGTTTCTTGCTCCTCAGTTGTATCTGGTTCTCCAGGAGGTTTCCATGGAACCTGGACGGGGCAGATCTGGCCTCTTTTATACCCTCTGCAAAACACTGAAAATATAGTTTTCAGCCAATGAGAACCTCTTTTGCTCTTCATTGTTTTCTGCATGCCCTGAGCTCTCCATGTGATCAAGGCTGATTTTAAATCACCCAGACAAGTTCTTTGCAATTGATCTCTACACTTTCCATCATCGCTGTCTATTTAAGTGAATTAGACTTTAAGACTTGTGCAAGAATCCATCCTGCCGCTTTTGAAAATTCTCAGTAGAGATAACCCGATGATTGGCATGCCTTCCTTCTTCCTCTAATGGCATTCCAAGTGCATTAGTGAAAGGCATTGATTATTTTTTTCACCTGCCAGCAACTTTCTATTCCTAGCTAATCCAAAAGTAATTTAATTGCATCAGTGGCCCTGATGTTTCATCAGGGTCAGTCGTTACATCTAGTCTTGGAAGAGGTGTTTTGTGCTGCCACATTCTTCTGAATAGAATTTCCCATATAGCTTGACTGAAATGGTGTGTATAAGCAATAAGAGTCTTAGAAGATAGCTACAAGATGCAGCGGGGGAAATTCTCTCTCTCTCTCTCTCTCTCTCTCACACACACACACACACACACACAGAAGTATTGGTGCATATGCGTATCAGAAATTGTACTTTTTTTTTTTTTTTTGCAGCACCAACCCTGATGCTTCCGACCAACATTTATGGCCTGATTGCCAAAACTAACAGCATGGTTGCCTTCCACACTGAGGTGGAAAACATAAAAAAAGCTGTACTCTGGACCTTAAGGGCAAAATACATTTTGGAGAAAGAAATATATAATTTTTTTCAGTTAAGAATAATTATCCATGCATTTTATATTAGTGCTTCTATATTTTCTTTGAAGTAACACTTAGTGATTTGGGTGGAGTTAATTTTTTAAAAACCATTGCGTTCTGGATTGCAGCTTTCTTTTGATTTTCTGGCTTACAATTTGATTAGAACAGGAGCGAGCTCCTTGGTGTTTTCATTGCTTAAGGGAAGAAGCCTTTCCTTCATGGAGTCCAACACTAGGGATGAATGGGGGTGTTTACTCCACTTGACCTCTCTAATGGTCAGTCCCACAAGTAGACCAGGCCAGGAAATCAATTCTACAGAAAGACTAAAACTACCTGGATTGAGAGGTAGTTTTATTGGCTCTAATAACAGAATCATGCAAGTCTGTGCTGGACCTCCTCCCCCTCCTTATTCTCCAGTGAACTAGGGAGATGTCTGTCTGAGCTGCTTCTGAATGTTATCTCGTTGTTCTAGACTTACTCTGTCAAGGTCATCTTCCTTACTCTCTACATTAATTCTGCCTTTGCCAAGGGAGCCCAAATAAATTGTGTTAGGGACAGAACTGGCCAGTTGCTCTGTCCCTTTTCTAAAGACTGTGGAATGTAGTTCAAGGAAGTTTCTTTCAGCTTCCACTGTTTCTACCTCTTGAAGATGAGGTTCTCATTCACCAGGCTTTTAATTACTGATGTTAAAATTAAATTACAGAGTTTTTTAAACTTTTCATTTGATCATTTAATTTTTGTTAATTTTTCCCATTCTTCTTTTGTCTCTTTTCCTTCTAGCTTTAGTCACGAACAGACCACCTCAGCCTTTGTATCCTGTAGAGAATCAGACAAGTCTTATAGAAGTCCAGTTGGGTAAGTTCCTTTCTGAGACTAACAGACTGGTGTGACTGGAATGAAGCAAGAGTTGAGTATTGCTGATGTTGTTATATGTAAATCAATTTGTTACTTTCTCATTTGCAATAGTGGAGAGGGTTATTTCAACAACAGTTTAAAGGAGGAAATTTGCATAGCATTGGAGAATGGGGCTATTTGGCTGTTCAGTGTGGAAAGGCTGCAGTTCATCATAGGAGATGATGGCTGGATCAAGGGATCAGTGGATAAACTCTTGAAATGCTGCATGAAACAACCGGTTATCACTGTACATGGAAGAAAGGTGTTGATAAATTCAGTGTAATAGGGTGGGGTGGGGATTAGAATTGGTATTTATGAAATTATGCATGGTATATAGGAAACAGAAATCTCTCTCCCCCTTTCTATAATAGAAACTGAGTCATTCCATGACACTGTTTGGAGGGAATTTGTGTTTCTTTACATACCCCTTAAGGAATGCATTGCTGCAAGATGTGATGATGATAACCTCCTAAAGATTTTATTTTTCAGTTTCTCAGTTTTGCAAATGCCATATATAGTTCATCAGACTGCACATTGCTCCAGAAGATAACACTTCTTTGTTTTCAGTTTGGCTTACATGTCATTTTTGTAAAGTAGCACTAAGAACACATTTTTATTATTGTTTTCATGAATCTACCCATTTGCATTCAGGTTTTTCTCTAATACACTTTTTCAAAAATTGGCAGACTGAATTTTTGTTTTAAAGTGTGAATTCCAAATGATAACAAATGTTCAGTTCATGTAGCACAGATACCTGAAACTAGATAAGAACAATTGCCTCTCCAATCCCTGATAGACCCTTAATTAAATGGTTTAAGAGTAGATTAAACAAATTAATATAGGAGAGTGTTCTATCATTACTTCTTAACCATGAGACCAAGCGGAGCCTTCTCGTTTAGGGATCACTAAGAATTACGACTCTTATGTCCTACTTGAATATTTTCTGGAGGCGTTTAGATAGGAGAAGGTTCTGCAGCTCTTCACCAATACTTTCAACTTGTGTTTATTTCAAGAAATAAGTCCCATCTTGCTGTGAAAAAAGCCAGCGTCTATAGATCACAATCGAATTGCATAGTGATATACATTTAGAATAAATATACAACTGAACACTTCTGTAAATCCAACCACATATATGACCAAATTTCAGGGTTCAAGCTTGGATGATACCTTAAGAAGCACTCTCTCCTTTTCTTTTACAAGATGACAAGGGTCCAAACAATCCTATCAGACAAAGACAGGAGGTTAAAAACTGAGCGTATTTTTCCCCTTGTTTTTGCTTTCGGTTGTTTTGCAGGGGTAGAATTTGTGAATGAGATTGCAGGAGGCAGATCGACTAAATGATACCAATTTCCTAGTGCCATAACAAGATTGAAAATAACATAGACCTGAGAAGATAAACAGTAACAAACAGGTTTCAGCCCCACACAAACCTAGTGTGCAATCTGGATTGGCAGATTGAATCTTTGTCGAATCCAGGACTTAACCTATGATGTACTGCTGCTGAAAAGTATGTTTTTCTCTCCTGGTAGTTTGGCATTTGCGGTTTCAAGTACTGTCTGGATTTGTGATTCTATGAAAATCTCAGCCCCTGTCTGTGATTATAAGCAAGACAATATGTCTATGCCTCTGGGAGCTATCAGTGACTGTTGACAGTTAATCTAATTATGGTGGGTGTGGAAGAAAAAAAGGAGGGTGAAAAAGTTTCTCCCTGAACAGCGTAACAGATTTTCCATTACCGAATGCATCTGAACACTTAGCGATTCAGTCTTCATAACACAAAATAGGAGATGATATTAGTTGGGAAGCCTTTTCATGCTTTAGGTTATATTTTGAGAAGTTGCCAGTTCTGAATTTTGATAGGATTTATTTGATACATGGCTGGAAAAACAGCTTTGCATTTATGTACCAGAGGGAGAAACCGAAATTAAAAGCGGGGTAAATTGGCAATCCTTTCTCACCCTTCGTTTGAAGGAAAAAAAAATAAAAATAAAAATAAAATCAAGCTTTTGAAATGGATTCACAGTGTGACTTTTATGTTCTGATCGCTAGGCTTGTCGCGCGAATGAGTTATTAGAATATGAACAGCTCATAGAAGCTGTAAATTACAGGATAGTAATATTCTGCTATTTTGACCTTTTCAGCATTCTGCAATTTGCTAGACAATGCCATTCAGTTTCCTTCTCACCACTCTTGTTTACAGCTTTGCTAAATGGGCGAGAATGGCAGAATGGGCAGCCAATCCAAATAGACGGGATTGGTAAAGGTCAGAGTCGTGCATCATTCTTCTTTTTCCCCACAGTTGACTATCAAAGATGAGAGCATCCAGATTAGGATAATAGGCCTTTTTTTTTTCTTAATGAGAAGAGGAGGAGGGGGGGAAAAGCATTCTGCCAATGGGAAGACCGAGGATCCCATCAAAGCAGTGTTTCTCAGCCTTGGCAACTTTAAGCTGTGTGGACTTCAGCTCCCAGAATTCCCCAGCCAGTACTAACTCTATCTTTATTGTAAGGTTGCATTAACAGAATCTTGCAAGTCTGAAAGTACGTCTCTCCCTGCTCGCCTTTACAGGCCAAGAAACTAGGGAGGTCCCCTTCTGAACCGTTTGCCGCTTCCCCATTCCTTCTGTGGGCTCAGCTGCCACTTACCTAATGGTTGCCTAGTCCGGCTCTTCCTCCTGTCTCCCAAGGTCATTCCCACATACCATTACAATTATGAAGTAATGGCTTGGGAGACAAACATTAAATACAATGGAATAATGAAATACAATGATGAAGAGGATGTCTGATTTGAGATGTACCCATGCATACTGCTAGGGCAGCAGTTCTTAAACTAATTGACCCAATTACCTCTTCTCCCGGTCTCAAATAATGTCATTGCCCCCACGAAAAAGAAAAACAGAGTCTGTTATTTTACAGAAGCATCTCAACAGCAGCAGTCCCAAACTGGATTCTCAACTCACAAACAAGCAATTACAAACTGCTCCATTACTCCCAGGATATGCCCAAATTTCCCCTTGGGTGTAATTATCCCCAGTTTAAATACCACTGAACTAGGAGGTCACTTAAAATAATGCCACGTAGGGAGGGCCTGTGCAGAATTCTTTCCAAACCCTTTTGCCAGCAGCGACCATAGGAAGAATCTGTTTTTTCTTCGGCGTAATGAAATACCGTGTGTGTGTATGGATGGATATTTCTGCTACCACCTTATGTGTCAGGCTTCGTAATCACATGCCCAGGTCGGAAAGGCTTAAGCAAGCAAGGTTTGTTCTCAGCATCAAAATTAGGTGGGATGGCCATTTTCTTATACACTCCTTTTTTTCTTTCTCTCTTTCTTAATTTTTCTCTCTCTTTCTCATTCCCTCTTTCACCACCTCTCTCTCCATTCTCTTGGAAGAAGTACCAAAATTAGACTGAGGGCCACATGTGGGCTAGAGTTATCTACCCCCTGTGCTATTTATGTACAGATTAAGGACAATGAGAATTGCCCATCCCAAATTAGCATCTGCCAGGGGATTCAGCCAACAGGCTCCCTGTGTTTCAAATGATCGTGCTTTGCTGTGAATGTACAGCTCTGAATGTATACACAATCATTTGCAGTTTATTTCCAAATCTATATCTTCTTTTTGTGCATGTGATACATTTCCTCTCCTTTGTTGTAAGTGGTTTTGTGGTTCACCCTCTCGGGGATCTCAAGAAAACATGGGCCCCCATGTGCTGCCCCCTCCCATTGTAATAACTGGCATTCTGATGGGTGGTGTGCAAATAAATATCAATTTAACTTTCGTGGCACTCCAAGCTAATAGTTTACTGCAAGGGACTCCAATTATGTCGTTCACAAATCGCACTGCATGCTTTACTGCTCAAGCTTCCTGTGATTCTCCGCTAATTCAAAGCATTTTCCATCCTTCATTGCCCAAGCTGAATAGTTTATGGTTACAGAATTTACATATATTATAGCCATCCATGATTAAGCTACAAATTATAGTTCAGTGATCCAGAGACAACGACTGGAGCTGGGTGAATAATTAATTAACAACAGGTAATTTATTCAATGAATTTCAACCTCCCTTCTCTTCGCAAATTGGACATGTACAGAGAGAACGGTGGTTTTCTCGGATGCGTCTCAGTGATTTTGGTAAATAACACTTCATCTATCTCACTCGCGGCTTGAATACCTATTTCTTTTGGACTGATATTTAATCCAGAAAGTAGATGTTTCGATAGGACCTTTCAGCCTTACATAAAGGCCTGCTTCTCTTTTGTGACGGATGAGATCAGCTTTTCTTACAGTTAATTTTAAACATTAATGGCCTGCACTATGCCAAGGTAATTGTTCTGATCCTTTAGCTTCACTGTGCTAGTTAATGTTTTTGTTTCTGCTGTTGTTTAGAACGTCTTCACATTTTAAAGATGCCCTCAAATCAGACTCAGATCCTGGTATTACATGAACACACCCATATAGATTTCCAAGATAGACATTTTACTTCCCAGTACTAATCACGGCTGGCTGTGCTTAGCTTTTGATCCCAAAGAAGACACACAGTTTAAGTTTATCTGTTTATGCAGATAAAAAGTTTTATGAAAGCTGATAGCCTTTTTGGAGAAAGGGAAACTATTCTAATCTCTGACTGGGGGATTTATATGATTAAGGTGGGCAAGATTCCTTCCATGTTTGCAGAACATTTCTGTGCCGTGCTGGAGGGTTGAGTCAGGGCTACATTAAACTCTCAACTTTTCTCTTTCTGCCTCTCACTCTCTCACACGCACGTATACTTCAATCACTATTCAGGAGTGCTAATTCCAAGCTGGTAGAACCAGTGGAGATCCTTGTATGACGGTGCATGTGCCAGATTCTCTGGGCTGTGGGAAAAAATAAGTGAGCCTTCCAGGGTTTCTAGAGCCATATGGAAAGTAGCCAAAGCTGCAGATGTCCTACAGGTTGTAGAACATCTGTCCTAGGTT